CCCTGCCCCAAAAGAACTGCCTTCTGTCCAACCTGTATGATCTCATTTTGTCGCCCGCCCCCTAACCACACTTCCGCTCAGGTACGGCAAGCTGTACGCCTGTATTCTCACAATGAATGCCGATGGCGGGGTAGAACTCGCGCTGTATCAGCTAATGAAGTAATTCCGGCCCCTTTTTTCTAACAACCCTCTGCAGAAATGCCCCCGTTCGTAAGACCAACGTACTCATCGTTCCCGAACAGGGACAAATTGCCGTTAATTTCGTGGATAACCTTATACTGGTTCATCACAAGCTGTCGAAGGTTAGTATGTCCTTCTGCTGCGATTTTTTGTAGACATCACTGGCATACGATATCGCTATTGAGGGCGAGCTTGTGGACGGCGTACAGAAACATTTTCCAATGCTGCCTCCAATTTCCTTGGCGGAATTCAAAATCCCTTGTAAAAGTGAGTCTTCCGTATATTTTGCTAAATTATTTATTTACCAATCATATCTACTTACATGTTATGCAGTAGTAGCAGTTGTGTTGTTTTTACATCCGTTTTCCTTATTTGTCTGAACAGGTATCCCGTCCCTCGCCCTGGAACCCGCTGAGGAATTCAAAATGATTCTATGTATCCTTTGACACACTCGAGTTTGAACATTCAATATTTTTCCAATATGCGCTATGCAACCTCTCATTTCCAAAGATGAGCTTACTTGGGACTAGATTTTCAGTATTATTTTGCTATCTTTGGTGTCCTTTGCTCCTCCTATCGAATACCTTTTCTTAACTACCCACCCGAAGATGATTCCACATGGATTGTGTTCCCCCCAAATGTTGTAATCGATGGAAGTTTAGGTAAGTTCCTTCTCCCGAGTATTTTCTCATCTAATGAACTAATGCGGTTGCCAGTACATCTTTTTGAAGGGCGTACCCCTATACTTTGCTGGATTACGGTATTATCTCTCTCTAAGACTCCTGTGTGGGCTTTGATACTCTTCCTAAAGTCATTGAGACCTTTTACCTGTTAGCTGATGCTTTGTATATTAATTTCCTCAGAAACTAATTACTAACTTGGAGTAGAGCAGTATTTTGAATGGGGGGGGGATAAAGATCGAATGCCGTTGCAGGTCACATCTATGCGTATTTATTCATTCAACTGCTCATGTGGAACAGGATATATTGGCTGAACCAAGAAACGTCGGGAGAAGAGCTTATCTGAACACATACCGGTCTCGCTAGGCAAAGGAGAAAATCCATCGATTTCAAATTCAATTCTTACACACTTAATCGAGTAGACCAGTATATTCAGGAGTGTACAGGATCAGTGGGATCCCAGTTCTGTGTGTGCCGCTGGGCCGCTGTTCCGCTAAACCACAACGCGGGTCCCATCGGATCATGACATACGTCAGTAGGGCTGCATTAAATCTGCGTAAGTTTCTGCTTATTGCTGTACGGTCGTATGTGAGGTCCACGTCACGACGGCCACTGAGCACAATCTCAGCAGCCCGGTGGACGGGTCTGGAAAGCCCACTGATGCATGAAAGGGACTAAGTAGGTCCTTTTTGAGGCAACTGTTCTCATTTTTATTTAGCGAATCCCTCACTATACTAAATCTGACGCGCTTAGACTACCCCGACGCGTTTCAAACTGCTTCATGGAAGCTTACCGGGCGACGAGATAACTCAGTTCCGCTTTGGAATCAGTTTCTGAATGTAACGGTTATTTTTTTATTGCTCTCCCTTATGTGAAATTAGAAAATCTCCCCTTCATCATCTTCATTTTCGGAGGTCTGGTTCGTTTGTTTGGCGGAATACGTGTGTTTGGCTCTGGAACAGCTTATCCTAAATTCGAAGTAAACTTGTCTATCCGCTCCTATTTTCCCCTTGGTTTTTGGACTTAACCCTGGTTCTTGAAGTATCTATGCTCTGTTTTGAAAGTTTTCTTCATGTTGCAGTACTTGATTTTTGTTTTCCATTCAACCAGTTTTTCCCCTCCGCTTCGCGTTCTTATTTTTTCTACTTGTACGTACGACTAGGAAGTAGTTGAATTACTACAATGTTTACATCTTACTAACTCGTCTTTTGCTCTCCTGCTCCCTCCGCCGATTCCATTCTTTCATCAGGCTGCTTGTGGACAGTGGAACTGAACTTAGAAACCTTTGCCAAACTAATATACGATCCGGCAAGTTCGACGTCGCTATTATTATTATTATTATTATTATTGTCATTGGTTGATGCCCCGTTACTTCTTTCTGCCATATGTTAATTAAATAAACCACTTAGTTGTCGCTGTTTCTGAATTGCATTGTCAAGTGGAGTTGGAAGTCCAGCAAACCAGATAGGGGGAATTTAAGGTCCTTTGGCCAGACTTTCTTTCGCGAATTATGAGTTGCGAGCAAGGCCTTGTATACGGCAGTCAAAAATCCCTGCTCCTCATCAGCTGCGCATATACCCTCCTGTTCGTATCCGAATGGAGGGTAAACGCGAGAATAGGAACCCTCCAGTGATACAGGAAGGGCAAATATTCCCTTGCTCTAATCCTTACATTGACTCTCAACCAACCCTGTCATCGGCTGATTGTGCTGATGCATCAGCCAGTTCGACTAGGGTTTTTTTATTTAAAAAGGTAGGTTTAGACTTTTGAAACGAAGTCAGTGCGTGGATGATCCTATTTCTGGCAACTAGTTTTCTCCAACATAAACCTAATTTGTTTGACATTATCAGTCTGATGAATAATAATTAAACCATTTCCTCCACAGTGAAATTCATTGAGGTGA